TCACCTTGAAGAGCTCCTTCTTGATCCGTCCTTTCAGGAAGTCTTTGACAAACTGAGTATTCTCTGCACGGTCGTGGGACTCCTTAGTCCCCTCCTTCAGCAGCTCTGAAAGGTCAGTCGGGCTGCAGGCAAGCAGGGAGAGCTCCTTTCACTCCACTCCCACATACAGTCATGAGTTTGTCCTTGCTGAGTTTGGAGGGACCCTGCAGCCTCACCATCCCAGGCCTCATCTGGTGCAGGTTCAGAGCAGGGATCCCTCGGTCCAGCCCTGCTGGCTGCAACCAGCATCACCCCCAGGAAATGTCAGGGTGACAGCAGTCAGGGCTCCCACCTGAGCCAGACTTCACCCGGGAGCCCTGGTGCTGAGCCGGGGCTCCAGGATGCTGGAGAAATTGTGAAGGATTCTCAATTCCTTGCACTGGTGCTTTCACTTCCAACCCTGAGCCACAACAACACTAAAGGAGACCCTGAGCGTATCAAGAGCAACTACCAGGACAGGATAAAGAGCAGCAGGGCCTTGCTTCTATACTTCTTGGTCTCTTTGCAGAAGACAGCCTTGAGTAGGAGCAGATGGACACACACAGGCAGAACTTGAACTTTTCTGACTGGGGCACCAAGGGTACTGCATTAATCATCACAGAAAGGACTTTAAAGATCATCCAGCTCCAACCCCCTGCTGTGTGCAGGTCGCCAACCAGCAGACCAGGCTGCCCAGATCCACATCCAACCTGGCCTTGAATGCCTCCAGGGATGGGGCATCCACAACCTCTCTGAGCAAACACTGGAGAAAAGATGAGAACCCACTGACAAAACAGGGCAGGAACACTCTTAAAAACAAGAGGTATTCATTCTGAAATATGCTGGTTTTGCATGTTTCCACAAGCTCTCCTTCTAAAAAACTGACGATCTTGGATCACAGCCACTGCACGTACCTGGAACTCAGTACAGTTATCAACACCTACACCCACAAAATGATGCCACGGTGCACCTTACCCTGTTTTTATGGCTGGTTTGCTACAGACAGCACGTTTACGTTAGCTGTAAAAAAGACATTTTGAACGCTCCGTACTGATGCAAGTAACAGGCTAGACAAGACTTGAACACAACAGGAGAGCCAGGGAGCATTAACCTCTCATGAAGCTGAGCCCATCAAGTCAAAGAGCAATCAATCAGCTCACTTCAGTATTCTGGAACCACCCTACTCACCCTTCTCATTTTCATATGAGGAAGATTTTCCTTTTAAAGCACAATTTAGAATGCTTTGAGCGCAGCTATTTGTTGTTCGGAGGGATAACCAAACAGTTTTGTGTACTTTGAAGTTCTGTAGAACTTGCTCTGTGTCAGAGGGAAGTTCTTTACAGAGAAAGTGGTGAGGTGCTGGAACAGCTGCCCAGAGAGGCTGTGGATGCCTCATCCATCCCTGGAGGTGTTCAGGACCAGGTTGGATGGGGCCCTGGGCTGGTATTGAATGTGGAGGTTGGTGGTCCTGCACGTGGCAGGGGGTTGGAGCTTGGTTATCCTTGAGGTCCCTTCCAACTCTGGCCACTCTGTGATACATCACCCTACAAGAACAGCCTTTGCATTTGTTCCTACTCTGTAGGAATGTTCACCTCCAACTGCAGGGCAGCCTCAGTCCTGGCTGGACTAGTTTTCAGCTAGAGAAGACTACAGATGAGCAAGGAGATCACTGAACTTGAGTTTGATGTGCCCTGCCTTACCCAAACCCAGCTCTGTGCCACATTACCAGACAAGGCCAGCAGCACTCACCTGACGTTGTCGTCTTCCATTTCCTCATAGCGTAAGCTTTCCCCTTCGTCTCCTCCTTCTGAGTTCTCCATAACTGATGGCATTGCTGGTCTGTTCTGGAGATCAGAGACACTGAAAGGCAAAATTAGAGAGGGATTTTAGAGGGAAGCTGCCTTAACAAAAGCAATAACGGGGAGGAAACATGGAGCAGTCCAACAGGGAGCCTTGCAGCTGCACCACCACGCAGGGTGGTGAGGAGCAGCCACCAGACGTTTTCACAAGAGCCTTCCCTGCAACAGAGCAGATTAAGTTCCAAAGCAGAGGTAGATTTTCTTTCTCATGTGATGTAGCAGCATGCACAAGAAGTACCCAGAGCCAGGAGCAAGACACTTGGTTTATACCAGCTGAACACTCTGGCTTGGCCATAAATCCAGGCATCCCATTTATAAAATGGAGCTGTAATCAGCTTTGTGCTGATTACTCCCCCAAATTACAGGCAGCCTCGCCAAATGAGCAAGGAGCTGAGCTTCCTGCTGGCTCTTCAGCAAACCAAGGCTGTAAGGGAGTCAGCCCATCTCCCAGCACTGAGTTCAGGCCTCCCTGGTGGGCTGCATCTGGGGACAGGAGGAGAGCAGACCAGATAAACAGATGAGAACAGGCCAAGCAAGCTCACAGAGCCTGAGCTGGCAGAACAGTCGGTGGCTCCACTCTCACGAGATGCAAACACAAACCATGCTAGTTACCAATTAACTGCCCTCCAGTTCCTCACCTACTTCTAACCTTCTCAGGTGCCCTGGACACCCTGCAGAGCTCTGTCCCGCAGAGCAGCTGGGGCTGATGGCACATCCCCAGGTGTGCTACAGCACAGCACACAGCTGGGGCACATTACCAGGGTGAGATTTCCACCTGTGCTCAGACAGCTCTCCTTCCACCCTGACAGCCTGGCTCAGGTGGCAGCACAGATGAGGACCATGCAGGACCAAAATGCACTGCTCTGTGACATGAGTTAGCCCCGTGCAGCAGGAAAAGTAATGTGAGTTAAGAGTCCTACAGCCCCACTATCTTCCTACCCTTGGAAGGAGTTAGCGTGTAAAAATTCATTTAAGGACCAAGTGCTCTCAGACTTGCGCCTCCCAAGCCTTTTTTGGAGAAGCTCAGCTTGTCATGTTCATCTCCATAACAAAACAGCAATGAAGCCAGTCCTTCTAGCATGCTCTGAAGACAGTATGCCTACAGGAAAATAAGGCAGTTTAATTTTTCCCTATACAGTCTCTAGTACAGACACCTCCCTGATGAGCCATGAATCAGGGACAAGGCAGCACCAATCCAATGCGCATCTTCTGCGGTACGATGACACTGTAGGAGAACTCAGAGGAGAGGAAAATAAAAACATTTTAACTCTCCCGTCACTACAAACCCTCAGCAACTGAAATCCCACAGCACAGTCACTGGTCAAAGCAACGGCGTCCTGGAGCACTCCACTCCTCTGAAAGAGGCAGTGTCCTACACATGCAGAGGGAGCTCCCAGCAGCTGCCTGCTGGTGCTTCAGGGGTTGGAGTATTGCTTCATTTGCTCTGAGGCTCCTGGCTGACATTCAGAGTAAACACAGTCCCCAACAGCCTGCCTGGGAGGGATCCAGCAGCCACAGGACAGCAGGGCTGGAGAAGATTTGGTACAGAACAGCTCAGCACTCCACATATTTCTTTTCCAATAACACAGCACTCAGTCCCTTCTGTAAAATATCCTCACCTAGCCAGCAGTTTGCTTTCCCCTACGCACGATTGCACAGCAAGCTTCACACTCAACATGCATGGCTGTTGTTTTCAGATATTCAACGTGAATAATTCTATGCCTTCTGAAGGAATTCGAGAGACACCGCTGCAGTAAGAAGCAAGACTGGAAGTGCTGGCTTTGCTTGGGCACTCTCATCTGTTCAGTAGCTGACAGAACAACCACTCAATACAGAGCTCGTCTCTGCGATTCAACCAGCACACGGCTCCGAATGCACACGGCTAAGATCCTCGCTTTAAAGCAGCAGAGCACGACTGCACCTACCCAAACATCACTGAAGGTGGGGTGAGGGACGAGATAGACCCCAAAACTCCAGGCCTGAGGTCATGACTAAAGAACTTGGGGCAGCTTCACCCCTCCTCCTCCTGCTGAGGAGGTCAGCTGGAAACAGAGACCCACGGAACAAACAGCTGCATTACCGGATCCCACCCGGATTTAAGGCTCCACCTGGAGCTGGGTCGTACAACGAGCTTAAGCAAACACCACTTCTGCCTCCCAGAGCCGCAGTCCAGCAGATCAGCGCAGCGATTGAGGGAGGAAGCACCTATTGAGACCATAGGTCACCCGTCCAGCCCTGCCCTTCAGTAGGCAGCCCTCGCACCAGCAGACCCGCAGGGGTTACGTTCCGGTAGGGCAGCGCAGCGTCACACGCAGATAGAAGAGCCTTCCCTCCGGGAGAGCCCGGGACACCGCAGGCTGGAGCAGCAGCGCTTCGGGCCGATGGACGAAACGCAGCAGCGTACGAACGCGGTGAGGCCCGAACGAGGCGCCCGTCTCACCCAACGGCACAACGGCAGCAGCGCCTCCGAAGCCGCACGGACCGCTCCCTCGAGGCGGCTCCCCGCTCCCCACACCGCAGCCCGGTCCGCGGGCCCGGTGTCCACCCGGACAGCGTTAGGAAGGGGCCGGCAAACACCGCGAGCGCCCCTGGGCACCGAGGCCTCAGCCCGGCCGTGCCCCAGATCGCTGTACCTCAGCGCGGCCCCGGCCCGGCCGCGTTGCCACGGGGCCGCGTTGCCACAGAGACGCACCACGCACTCACCCGCCGCCTCCCGCTCGCGCCGTGCCCCGCGGCGCAAGACAAAGGGCCGGTGTTGCCGGCCCGCATTTACCTCGCGGGAGAGAGCTGTGATTGGAGGAGGTGGCTTACGTCACTGAGGGGGCTCGCGCTTCCGCTCTGCCCCGCCTCGTCGACAGCCAATGGGAACACCGGACGTCACGGCAAGCCCCGCCCACGGTCTGACGTTGCGCAGGCGCGAACGGCGGCGCGCCCTCCGACCCGCGCGGCCGATCGGCTGAGCACGTGACCGCACGTCGCCGGGTTCGCGTCCGGAGCTGATCGGGCTGCTCCGCTCCGAGATGAAACGTAAGCGAGGATGGCAGGAGCAAAGCCGAGGCTAGGCGACGGGGGCTAAAGATGCACGGTGAAAATGCTTTTTAATCAAGGGTTTTATTTACAAGTTTTAGAAATAATTAAACCTCATTAACGTACGATTTAATGCTTATTCACATTCGGAAAGAGCGCTCAACTGTCACATCTTCAAAGCTGAAAGTCTGGGATGCCCTCAGGGAGCGCCGTGCGGCTGCTCCGCCCACAGCCCTGCGAGGGGGCAGCCCCAAAAGGAGCCCCAACGCAGCCGCAGGCTACGGACGGACAGACGGACACCTCAGACCGACTGCTCTGTGACCCCGCACACCGTCAGACAGCCATGGGTGGCAGCGGCACGGGGCTTTGGGTTTCTCCATGCTATGGGCACAGCCCTCAATCTGGAGAACGTCGATCAGAACCACGGAAGAAAGCAGCTTTTCTTCACCCAAATCAGAGCTTTGCAGGCTCTGAGATCCCTCCCTCTGTCAGCTCTCCAAGGAGAGGAGAGGCAGCGTATTTCCCTTCCTCTAAAACACCCCGCTGATGATATTCTGCCCTTCTCAAATGACTTCTTCCTCTGCTAAGAGCTATCCCACCTCCTTCCCCCACCTCCAGCTCAGCTCTTTGCAACCTTCCTCCATCCCTACCTTTCAGGATTTGTTCTCTTAAAAAGAAATTGCTTTCACCCCCGACAAGCAGCACACTCAATAGTGCAAGGAGAGAGAGACGCTGGGCTCTGCTCCCAGGGATGGCAGCGAGCATCGGGCCAAACCACCGCATGCCCTCTGTCCTCCTAGGGCTCCCCTCCCCGGTGGATCTGCCGGTGCCGGAGCAGCGCGGAGCTGACGGTGAAGCCCTTCCCGCAGTCAGCACAGCTGTAGGGCCGCTCCCCGCTGTGGATGCGGCGGTGCTGGATGAGGTGGGCGCTCTGCCGAAAGCTGTCCCCGCAGTCGGAGCAGGCGTAGGGCCTCTCCCCGGTGTGGACCCTGTGGTGACGGAGCAGGGCCGACCTCCACAAGAAGCTCTTCCCGCACTCGGCGCACTCGAACGGCCGCTCCCCGGTGTGGAAGCGGCGGTGCTGGATGAGGTGGGAGCTCACCGTGAAGCTCTTCCCGCACTCGGTGCAGCCGTAAGGGCGCTCGCCCAGGTGGAACCGCCGGTGCTGGATAAGGGCAGAACTCACCGTGAAGCTCTTCCCGCACTCGGAGCACTCGTAGGGTTTCTCCCCGCTGTGGACCCGCTGGTGCTTCATGAGCTCGGAGCTCTGGCTGAAGCTCTTCCCGCACTCCACACACTTGTAGGGTTTCTCCCCGGTGTGGACCCGCTGGTGCCGTGTGAGGGCTGAGCTCACGCTGAAGCTCTTCCCGCAGTCGCTGCACTCATAGGGTTTCTCCCCAGTGTGCACCCGTTGGTGCTGGACAAGCTGGGAGTTCCCAGAGAAGCATTTCCCACACTCTGTGCATTTGTAGGGCTTCTCCCCCGTGTGTGTTACCTGGTGGCGGATCAGTTTGGAGCTCATGCTGAAGCTCTTCCCACACTCGGCACAGGCGTAGGGCCGCTCCCCAGTGTGGGTCCTCTGGTGCTGGATGAGGTGTGACCGCTGCCTGAAGCTCTCCCCGCAGTCGGTGCAGGCGAAGGGTTTCTCTCCAGTGTGGATTCTCCGATGCTGGATGAGGTTGGAGCTCACCCGGAAGCTCTTCCCGCAGTCCCCACATATTGTCAGTCTCGCCGCAGCAGGATTTCTCTGCTGGATGATATCTGGCAGCCTCCTGAAGCTCTTTCCACGTACCATCACCCGGCTGTGCCTCTTCCCCAGGGGAGGTTTCTGAGCCCTTTCTGACCTGTGTATGTGAACCGAGTCCTGTTCAGGACTGTGAGAACTCTTCTCCTTGGGTAGTGCTGACACTAAACCCTCAGGCTTTGCTGGCCCAGGAATGCCCCAGTGGGGAGTCTCCTCTTTCTTGCTCTCAATCCCATCCTCAGCTGTAAGAAAACGAGAATCCAGAGAGGTGTCACATGCAAGAAAGAAGCCTTGGACAAAGGAAATCAAAAGGCCCAAATTCTAAAAATTCAGCAGCTTGAATTTAAGGTTAAAACTTTCTGATAACTCCTTCCCACCTACTCAGAGGATTTTGCAGTGTTCACAGCATCAGGAACAAACTCTGGAAATTACCCAGGGCTTACTGGCACACTGCAGGTACAAGTTTAGTGCTCAAATGGAAAAGATAGCTGCTATTCTGGGATATGATATCTAAAAATATTAGAAATTGAACAGGCAGAGAAAGGCCATAAAGAACTATCTTGTGCAGCAGGCACAGGCAAATACCTGCCCTCTTATGCACAAAGTCTTGGAGAACCACCACTGACAGAAATGTATGCCACACAGACTCAAGGTCACTTGAAAGCCTTTCCAGGCGAAGGAGCCTGCATGGATTTCTAGGGCATTTATGCAGAGCAGTGACTGCTTCCAGCTCACTACTGAAGTGTGGTTTGATGAGCATCCTAAGAGGATCAAAAACCTGAATCCCCAACAGTGCTGTGGGCTTTGTGAGCTTATACCTTAAAGTGGCAGGACAGAAGGTGTGAACGCTTAGGGAGAAACGGCAACACGGATTATCACAGAACAGCTTAGGTTAGAGGGGACCTTAAAGATCATGCAGTTCCACCCCCTGCCACGGGCTGGCTGCCAACCACTAGATCAGGCTGCCCAGGATCCCGCCCCGAATGCCTCCAGGGATGGATGTATCATCACATAGGTCAACCAGGCCAATAGATTTCCATGTGATCTCCTTACACGGACTTCCAGGGATGACTTGCTGCTGACTATACAGAAAACTCAAAATATGGAAGGGGCTGAGAAGTAAAGCTGCAGAAACAGAGACCTCCAGATTGTTTTCCAAAGTGGGACAGATTTGACTGCTATTTCCTGACACTCTGAAAACTCTTGTGAAATAAACTGGCAGCTTATCGGCCATGTGGGATTAATGCACAAACCACAGATGCTTCCCGTGGTCTGGCAGAGCTGTGATAAGGAACTGTGTGCCTTGGAAGAGGAGTCAGTACTGAGTTGTAAGCAGGCAATTAAGGAAGGAGAGTCTACGATTTTTAACCTAACCAATATATGTACCTCTTTAATCTCTCTCTTTCTAGTCAGCGTATAAAACATCACAATATGATTTCACAGAGAACTCCTAAGTGGCTTTTCATAGCAATTTGGTGTGGTTCTCTCATGGTTTTCATTAATGTAATCCCCTGAAAGAAACAGAAACGGGAACATTGCTGTTCACCACGAAGGCACTTCCATCTGACTGCAGTTACATCCATCCAGGCCTGAAAGAAAAGTGAACGATATCCAAAGACAGGTTAGAAGGATGACATTTTTGGCAGGCCAGGATGAAACTCTTGACCTCTCCATCAGACTTAGTTGGAGAATATCAGAAGTTTTAAGCTTCCTATCACAGTGACTACTGGTATGGCTCCAGCTCTCCATCATGAAACTTCCATGACCATTTTTGTTTGATGCCTGACCTATCTGACATCTTCACTGGCACCCAGGACAAGCTGTTTGTAAAAGGTTTAATCAACATCATGATGAGCGGAAGTCACTGGAAGGATTTTAAGTGGAAGAATGGCAGAGCATTTGCGGAGGTGTCACTCTATACTGATTCCCTTCTCTGGCATCATCCGTTTCTGGCCAGTCCTGGGATCCCTAAGACGTGGCTTAGACTTGGGTCTAACCCAGCAGGGCTTGCTCATGGAACTTCCCAACACAGCTGGACTCCTGGCTGCTGTACCTCATTGTCAGGTGGCTGGATGTGATGGCAGAGGGAGGCCTTGAGGCAACATCCAGGGAGCGGGAAGCCCAGCAGACATTCCAAGCAAATAAACAAAAGCTGGAATAAGAGATTTAGTGGCAGATGACCAAGGAAGGCATACTGGGGAAGGGCCAGCACAGCCTTTGGAAACAGGAGTCTCACCTTATGAACTACAGAGCTCTTCAGAGACATCATCCATTTTACAGAAGGGAGATGTGTCTAAAAGCATTCCTGAACATTTGTTCTTCACATGAACTGAATAAGACAAGAAGTTGCTACGCAAAGAGGGACCCGAAATAATGTGGTGATGGAGAGAAAGGGGAAAGCGGGAAGATTTGCTGGAGATTCCACGCCATTCAGGGCCAAAGAGATGAATGCTGACTGCGAGGATCAACTGTGGCAGCACCTCAAGGCACTGACCAGCTGGGTGACGGGTAATGACAGGTAAACAGAGAGCTGCGGGAGGCGGGGAAAGCCTCTGCACCTTGTGCTGCCTGGGCTGATCTCAGTGCGTGCTGGCACAGCAAACAAAGGAGGTCCATACCGGACAAAGCACGTAGAGATGCACCACGGCCTGCTCCTCCACCCACCGACAGCCCAGGTTGGTGCAGGCAAAGCCGGACCGCCTTACCTGGGCAGGAGCCGCGCAGACCCGCCCGCCCTTCGCAGGCACGCAGACGGGAGAACCACCGCTCCGCCTTGGGGTCCGCGTGGGAGATCATGTCCGTCCCCGAGGTCCTGCAAGCGGGCAGGGAGGCCGGCCCGGCTCCGTCCGGTAACGGGGAGCTACAACAGCGGGTCCTACCGACGCGACCGCCTCGGCCACGGCGTCCTCAGCCCCGCGGGGGGCCTCGGGGGCCGCGGCGCTGCGGGACGAACCCGCGCGCGGCACCGCGAGCGGCGCGGCACAGCCGGCGTGCCGGTGTCACGTGACGGCGGCGGCCAATGGCGCGCGGGGCTTTCGCCTCCGAGGGCGGCGGGAAATGGCGGCGGTCGCTGCTCGCCGGGCGGTGCGCGGGGCCGCTCCTGCCCGCGAAGCTGACGCGAGAGAGAACCGCCATCTGAGGTCACAGCTTTTCCCGCCGCCCTCACGGCCCGGCGCCCACGGTCCCCGCGCAGACACTCCCCGAACGCACAGGAAGCCCGGCTGCCGGGAAGGCTCCCGCCACAAACGGCGGAGCTCTGCTCCTCACACCGACCGAGATCTGCGCCGTGAAGCGCGGGGCACCGCGTGCGTGCCTCCGCTTTGGCTCAGCTTACAGCGAGCCGCGGAAGCAGCAAAGAAACCGAGCAGGAGATACCCGGTAATAGGGATCGAGCACGGGAGAGGAGAAAGGAGTTAGCAGCAATTTGCTCCGAAGTTTGCTCCGTAACACTGAGCGCAGCCGCGTGCGTGCGAAGGCAGCCCTGCCCGAAGTCACGTGGCAGCAGCTTGGCTTTGGTCGCTGCCAACCCGCAGGGCGGCACAGCTGAGCGATGCCCAGGACGTGGAAGCAGGCACTGCAGCACGGCCCTTGTCTGGGCTCTGGGGACCGAGGAGCTTCCCCCCGCGGGTAGCTAACGCTGTTCTGCCACAACACTTGCTGTCCGTGAAGGCAATTCTTCGCACACCCGGCAGCAATCACTTTGGCACAGCCGAGACGCATCTGGTTCCCGGCTTTCCTCACCTATCAGTATTAGCAGTGTCGGAGCCCAGCGAGGCTCTCCCAGGACGGCCAGCCCACACATCTCCCCAGAACAAAGCTGTTCTGTATTTCTCCAGCCAAGGACAATCTCTTTCAATAGCAGAAGGTGTGTAAGTCAAGCTCCCAGCACGATATCCCCAGTCTCACAGATGGCCTCTGTTTCAAAGCTCGCCCTGGCGTTCAGTCAGCCCCTTTGGGTTTACATTTCTCCTCCTGGCTCCGGTGTCAGCACGTTGGTGTGCACAGGAGAAATCACACCCAGAGGGAGACGTTAGCTGCAGCAAAAGCTGTTCGAGGCGTGCTGTTCATGTCCCTCTGCCACCTCTGCAGCTCGTGCTGGCTGGTCTTACAGGTGAGAAGAGGGCAAGTCCAAGAAGGTGCAGGGCTCCCCTAAACTGCAGTTGGGAACATACAAAGTATCCACATTCTGTTAATGCCTCACCTGGGTCCAGAGGCTTTGGAGGTCCCCAGTGTGACAGGGAGACGTCCTTCACTCTGTCAGCTACTAGGGAAATACAGATGCATCACCTGTGCTGGTGCAGCAGGAACAGAGGTTTCTGTCACGTCAGCTGTGTTTCACACTGGCTTTAATGTTTAGGGCTTTTCTTACCCGAAATAAAAAGCAGATCAGCTTTCTAGAGATCTAATAAGAAGAAAAAAATGAAGGGATCCAGGTGTTTGTGTTGGCACAGGGAGAAAAATAGTCATAGCAAATACTGCTGGCTGCATGACAAAGACATTGCAGCAAACGGCATTGGGGTCATTTTTCATCTGCCCAAATCTGAGTGACAACTCTGAACTGTTCTGTAGGTAAGAAATCTTTTAACACAAACTCATGCTATCAACTGTGCAAATTATTGAAGGTCTTCCAAAATGAGAAGTCAAATAGCACAAAAGAAGAACATTTCCAGGAAGGTTTCTGTTAGGTGAACAGCAAACACCTGCCCTAGGTGGCATTACAGACACTTCATTGCAGAAGTTCAGTGAACAAGACAAACTTCAAGGCATGATAACAGCCAACTCCTTCCAAGAAGAAATTAGCCAGAGGGGATCAAAGCCGAATTTGGGAAATCCATACCTGGGCTCAATGTCCTGCTGGCAGACAAGGACCTACTGGGTGCTCTGGGTCAGGCTGCAGGGGAGCCCTGCGTCCCCACAGTGGAGACGTGGCCTTCAGCATTGCACAGGACAGTAATAAAGGGAGAGGTGGGCTTGTGCTGAGCTCAAGCAAGGACTGTGTTAATGTTCCATTCTGAGGTGAATGTGTTCAAGCTTTGCAAGATGACTGCTTGGGCACTAGAGCAGCTCAGCAGCAGGATGCGAGGCGCTCAGGCAAAGGAATACTGCAGGTACCTCTGAAACACAGAGAGAGCAGCTGAATCACAGAGACAGCTTTGCTGAAGGCTGCATCGCTTCTCCCAGGCGCTGCCGTTTCATTAAACAGCAATGCTTGTGAACAAGGTGTTGTGCAGGAATAATTTAAACTATCACCAAAATGCAAACAAGTGCATTCGAAATGCACTTCCAGAATGGCTCCAGTCCACTTAAAGAGCTGCAAAAAGGATTGCTCTCCTAATCAGCCCCGTGAAATCTAAACATTAGCGCCGTGAACATAACATTTGAAGTCTGTTGGCTCAGTACGAAGGGAAAGCACGGCTTTATATTATTCTCTCTGCTTTATATTATTCTCATGTGTTTTATTTAAGTTAGCCTCTCGGCCATGGTGATGGATGATAGCTGCAGAAGAAATGCCATTAAGAGACAAGGTGACTTAGGGGTAAGTGGACAGAGCTGCATCTCTGTAAGGAAACAGTGCTCATATACAAGATTATTACATAAACGTCTGCAGCACAGCTTTTCAGAAGAAAACCTTTTCAGTCTATTTCTTTTTTTCCAGCAGGAAATGTGACAATACAGAAAACAACACGGTAGCTGCAAAAGAATATCCAGAAATCCATCATACACACCATTTGGATGCCACAGGGAATTCAGAAGCAGTGTTTTCCAAAGCTCATGCAGCACTCACACAGTGCATGTTGGTGAGACGTGAGGTGTGAGCAATGCCAGTAACATCTGCTTGTCTTTTAACACAAATAAAATCAAATACATCAAAACCAAAGTTGAACAGGTATTTTTTTTTCTTTTCTGTGACCTTGGAAGCATTAACACAAACAGAAGTGCCAGAATATTCTTCATAGCTGCTAATACACAGCTGGAAATAAAAAAAATGATGACAATGGATTTTCCAAGACAGAGCATAAGCCTGCATCGGGTGTGTAAGAGACACAGGAACACTTACAAATCAAACTGGCACCACATTATCGGTGGCAGATGGCAACACCAGTGTGAGCTGGGGATGGATGCTTTGCTCACAGATTAACAGAGCAGGCAAATGAATGGCTTTCAGAAAATTTGCAGTGTGTGTCAGACCTGTCCTTGTAATCTTGAAGGCTGCAAAAGACTTCAAATCCTTTATCTGTCATCTGAGAAAAAATTCTAGAACTTCAAGAGCCATTTCATCAGCTTCAGAAACAAGAAAGCATCGTGGCAAGCTCCTGCAAAATGGTCATCTCCAAACCCTGACAGCACAGGGGAGATATGAAAGTTATCTTTTTACCTTAGACAAAACTGCAAAGTTTACAGATGCCAAAGACAGGAGGCTGGAGACACTGCCAGGGACCAACGTTCTGATTTCTTTCATAGCGTGCTCAATGATTTATGACACAGAGCTCTTTCTTATATTTGAACAGCTGTAATTTACGTGTATGGAAATGTGACACTGCGTCAACTGAATGTCAAGACACAACAAAAAATTGCAGAATCTTTTATCATAAATGTAAGTCCTATTTAGAAAGAGCCAAAAAAGCTGGGAAGGAATCACATTTATTTTCCTGTATTCCTGTATCAGCTTTTTCTGAATATTAAGTATCTGTTGGGAGAAACACAAGGTACATTGAGGGCAACATTTCCTAGTTTGCCTCTTTAAGGCAAGCCTGGGTCTTTTTATCTAATAAAGTCATCACACAGCACTCTTGCACAAGAAGATGAGGGAGCAAAAGTGATGTGACTGCCAGGAAGAAAACTGCCCCAAATTCCTGACAAGTCACAAGAGATGGCAGAAAGTGTTGCTTGAAGGTCCCTATGCCATCACACATGCCACAGCAACACCTGATAGAGAAGGAAGGTCACAGGCCCTCTGTGGTTACCCATGTCCCCTCCAAGGCCAGACCCATCCCACAGTCCCTCTTGGAAGACCCCCCCCTTTCTCCTGCCCTCCCTGCAGTCTCCCTTACCTTTGGAGCACGCGTTCCTGACGCCCTGTGCAGCTCGTCTCCCTCCAGGTCACCAATCCACCATCCATCAGTGCAGGCTGATCTCTCCCAGTCCACCTCTCCGTGCTGCAGGGCACCTGGCACAAATGCTCCTCCTCCAGTTTTTTTGCTCAGGTTTTGATCAGCACAGGCACAGAGTGCACAGCTCCTCCTGCTCTCAACCAGACCCAGTGTTTCTGCTTAGAACCATCCCTAAAAGTCCCTCAGAAGACATTGCTTATAGCTTAGCATTATTTCCTTCCAAATTGTTTATTGTATAGAAATCAAATAAAACCAAGGCAGTGCTGTATCAAATAATAAAATAAAAAAGCATGTTCCAAATACATAAATACATTCAGAAATCAAGCTTTTTCTTTTTAATTATTGTGTCTACTTTGGTGAGTGAGACTCTGCAGACTCAGACCTGCCAGAACAGAGAAAAATCCAAAGGTGTGGTAGAAGTTAATAAATAAAATGACTATTTAGTGTCCAAGACTTCCCCAAGAGTCCCAGACAGTTTCCAACCAAATATTGGTCCAGTTTGGAAATGACAAGACAGATCCACAAAGAGGCTTTAGATCAGGGTGTGAGAATTGCTTGAGAGATCCATTGGTCACTGTAACACTGTCTTTTTTTAAAATGTCACATAGTCAAGCTACAATGACAGGGTGAAACAGTACTCAGAAAATGGAGCTGTAATGTCTTTAGCACCAATCTCAGCAAAGTGAATGCACACAACTGAATGTTCAAACCTCAGTGGCTTCTACGTGACATCTGGTGATGCAGCCACCACAAACAGACCACAAAAACACCTGCACTGTTTTGCAGCCACTTACAAAACACACATGGGTTATTCCATTCAATATTGGAACAAAAAGGGTTCAGGCCAAGGCCAGGGCAAGGACCGTGGCAAGTACCACTGGAGGAAGCAGCCATCTCAGAAGCACCAACAAGAAGAGAAGCTGGGGATCTAAAACTACTAAAATGGAAAGACAAGAGAATGCACAGGATGAAAATCAGGGCACATAAAAAGGCTCCCGAAAGAGGATTTTGTGCAGCTCAGAGGAAAGCTTGAGAGCAGGAGCTCAGTTCAGATCCGTTTTCCAGCGTGTCATCTGGACAGCAGGCCACAAGGAGGAGCAGTGCACCCACCGATCACACCAGCTCCACCAGGAGCAGCCTGGAACAGGGTTTCCACCTTAGGAGGAAGGCCTCTGTGAAGGAAATTTTCAGGATAGAGGAGTGGGATCCATTCAGTATCGTTTCCTCTTTTTTTTGCTCCCCTTTCTCTTCTGTTCCTTCTCTTTCCGGGCTCCAGCTGTGGTAAAGGTGATGCACTGAGCATCTAAGAAGTCCAGCAGCTTTGCCTTGGAAATCTTAATGCCATTCAGTTTCAATTCTGCGTGCAGGTCAGCCAGCTCAATAGGCTCATAGAAGAGAATCCTGTCGTACAGGGTTGGGTTTGAGCGGATGTAGCACCTCACTGCCTCCAGTTTCTCTTCTTCCCGAGCTGCTGCCTGGGATGCTGGAAGTTCTTCTTCCTCCTCTTCAGATGCAAATGCATAGGCCTCCAATTCCTTCACAAAAGAACTAAAAAGAAGGCCAAGTGTACCCGAAATCAAAGAAAGAACAAGCCACGAGGACCAGAACGAGAGCTCCCTACATAGCTGGTGGCCAGCCCTTGTGACTACTTGTAGGATCATAGACTGATACCAGTACACATGCTGAGTGAAAAACAAGGCACACGTTCTACAAACTTTCCCATTCCAGCCATGACAGCTCCAGTCCTGCTCATGGAGGCCTGGAACTGGCTGGCATTCCTTGCTTCTGACCCACAGCACCTACTGCTGTTGTACCACGGCCTTCTCTGCTAAGTACTGCTGTGCTCTCCTTCCTCTATGCCAAATGCAGCTCTCAGCCAATGCTCGTTGCTGTGACAAGCACTGACTGGGCATGCCAGACGTGGGCCTTGCCTACATGTGGCCTCAGCCACAAGCTTTTGTGCTCTGGGAATAGAATAGCTCACTGGGATTTAGAGCAAACAGCCCAAAGTTCATTTCTTTTACACGATGGTGTTGACCTTCAGATGACAAACCCAAGGAAGCAGCAGGGCTCCTGTAGGCCACGGAGAAGCTCACCTCTTAGCTGTGCTCCTGGCTCATCTCTGTCTTGCATCTTTGACTACTCTGTTCAGTATTTTACTCCCTTACCTCTGTGAACTGAAGGAGACGTCACTTCCATCCCCCGAAGAAACTGCAGACTTCTGAGATGCAGAGAGCATTGGTTCCTCACCATCAGCTCCCAGAGACCATCCTTCTGGAGATGCAGCTGACCTGTTCTGCTCTCTGTTTCCTTCTGGATGATGTATCATTTCATTTCTCTGCTTGGGTGCTGCACAGCCTTTTTTAGAGGGTCCGACAAGGTCATACTCTCTCCTTCCTACAGGGAGCACTGAAGAACCTGTTGCAACCTGCTTCCTTTTGCTCACAGCCTTCGAGGCTTTGGGACTCTTTCCACCTGTAGTCTGAGCTGCCTTTGACTGCCTACAGCGTTTGGCAGGGGACTTCTGGGGAGGCTGGGAGGAGTGGACTTCATCCTCAAAGTCAGAGTCCCCATCCCGGTGAGTATACTGGAATATCTCTTTCAGTTTCAACACCATCTGGCGTTTTGGGAGAGCACGAACGCCAAATCTGAAAGGAAAAAGTAAGAGCTTAGGCTAAGATAATGCTGCACCTTCCACTGCCATACCTCAGGAAGGTGCTCATGCGAGGAACTCCAGTGGTGAGCTGGAAGAGCTTCACCAAGGTTTCTCTTTCATCCCAGTTGCTTCCTTTCACACTACTTGCTCACAAGTTTGTGCTGCAAGAGATGTACTCACGGAGGTAACGCTAACCTTTTCAACTCCTCCTTCAGCTGTGGTGTCTCCATCATGGAGTAAGATGGCATTGGTGTCACTGGAGTGCTGGGAGAATTGCTGTTCTCTTGACACACAGGTTCTGCAGCAGAATGAAATCACCACGATCAGACTTAGCACTTAAAATAGCTGTTATTTCTCATTCTTAGTGGCAGATATTCTAATTTTATATAATAATTAAGCAGCAGTACAAACTTTTACTTACTACTCACCTTCATACTGGATGGAACAGCTGACACTTCTTTTGCTTTTTAGAGTGGGACACTTGCTTTTTGTTGAATTGAAAATGGAAAATGGTTCACATCAAGGTGTAAGTCAGGTCTGACTACAAAGGCCATTCAGGGCTCTGTTAGAACAGGCAGCTCTCACCAGGCAGTGAAAAAAGTGTTTAGTGAATTCCATGAAGCAGTTCTTTTCCATGAAGGAAATTTCATGGGAGACCTGATGAAGAAGAAACTGAGCAAGTCAAGCTCCTGGGGTCCTGAGTTAGATACTGATTTGATGAACCAGTAGATTTGCTGCCATTGTGAAGAGCAGCCAGTTTTGCAGGTCATGCTGTCAGCACCGGTTAAACTACTCACTTAGTACAGAGCAATATTTTAATTAGGCACTGTGAGATCATTTACTGGTGTTAGATGGAAGGAACCACATAAGTGCAACACATGTAAAATAGTAATATTTCTAAGTTCTTGGGACCAGAAAGGTTATGTTAGCATTCTGTGCACCGTCAGGCTTTCAAGAAGGCTGAACTCCTGTGGATCCCAGGGCAAAGCAGGCGGAAAGATGGAAAGACTGTGGCTCTCAGTCTTACATGTACCACGCTGACTTCTTGCTGTGCCGTGCACTCAGGTATCTGCCAGCACTCAGAGATCTATTACAAGGCCCCAGAAACAGCAAATAGAAGGCAATGGAAGTCAAGACAATCATGCATCAGCAGAGTTTTGCAGAAAAGCATGCATGAAGCAAATCCACAGGCTGGGATCAGTGCTCAGCCCAGCTACCTTCAATACAAGGAAACCCATGCACTTGTGCTAGAGAGCTGCACCTTGTTGCTTACCAGATGTCCTGATGTAAGCACAAGCATTGCTTCCTGAATGCATGAAAAGCAGAAGACTGTACAGAAACCTAGTACTACAGTGAACACACATCCATCAGCACGCAAACTGAAGACTGTTTGTTTTGATTTGGTTATGGTTGGTTGGTTTATTTCCTTTCTTTTTTCCTCCAGGTACCCGTAGGTTCTGCAGTGACCACTGACATCATCAAAGAACCAGCAAGAATGACACACAAGCAGGTGTGCTCCAGTAACCTCACATTTAGATATGTGCTCCCCAGCTATAGAAGATGACTGTACCTTCTCTGCGTCTGGCCTCGACAACTACAATCAGGCAGCCAAAATCCCTACCAGCATATCAAGTGAACAAGAGGTGGAATGACTTTAAATGAAAACAATTTAACCTACTGTAGCGAAACTAGTATCAATGCAAGCTCTCACCAGGAGTCTTTATAGGATCTGCACCTGCTGCTGCTGATACCCTCTGTGACAGAGGAAGCACCTCTGGAAATTCATCTTCCTCCTCTTCTCCATCCCACTCATCCCAGAGTTTGGAGTTCAGGTAACTTGCTCTGCTGCCCCGTGGTGTACATGCCTCAATGGGACTCTTTTCAAGACGGAGCAAAGTTGTTCTTCTGCCAACAGGAGCTCCTTGAAGAGGAGTACTGCCCTTAATTTCCCATGCTTGGTCTGGGCTCTCCCACTGCTCACGCACAAGGTCAGTTTGGGGGCTGCTGGCAGCGCTGGTGTTTGCATGGCCATTCTGTCTGGAGTCCTGGCTGTTAGCTCTGACTGGTGACAGATACTTACTGTGCCAGCAGTCATCAGCAGGAATTGCAGGCTCATCAGCAAGCAAGACACTACTGCTCAAAGACACCATACTTATTTCCTTCTCCCCCTCACTGTCCTGTATCTCAACCACGCTGACGTTTGATTTATCTTCCATTGACTTCCCATGGCATGGAGGCACAGATTTGGACAAAAATGAGGTATTAGCACATTTGCTTTGTGAGCTGGTGTGAGCAAGGGCGAGAACTGGATCCACTGAAGAAAGCGGCGTAGATTTCTCAAAAACTGACCCTGCTTCTGGGCTGCTGGAAGGATTTCTTTCACTGACACAGTTCTCCACAGGCAAATGTTTGTCTGACAATGCTGCTTGATGAACTTCTCTTACATTTCTGTCCACTTCACGGTTACTACTATCAGCTGTTAGGCTTTTTGTGCTGACTTTAGATTCTGGACTCCTGGAAGAGTTACTACTTGTGATGTGGGTCTGTGTTGAGGAACTTCTGCTTTTGGTCAGAACTGGTGTGTCAGGCACCAGCCAGGAGCTGTCAGTACCTGAAGACACTTCGTGACTGAGCATTTTCTCTGGGCTCAGGTTTGGGCTCTGCTCACCCTCTGTACAAGGATCTGCGTGGCTGCTGGGAGGCAACTCAGTGGACATCTTCACATCATCACTTACGTGCGCCTTATCTGTAACGAGGTGTGAGATCTGCAGTGATCTCTGCTCTGTTTCAGCGACTGATGTGTTGTGTTCAGGTTTTGGTCCTTCAGGACCACGTCCTCTATTTGTACATTTCAGTTGCTCAGGGCTTTCCACTTTCTTCAGAACAGAGCCTGACTCTGGTGACTTCTTGTCTTCTAACTCCATTTCATCATCAGAAGATAAAACAATGACATCACCCTTCTTGCTCCCCTGAGCTGCAGGATCCTGAGTTCTGATAACTGGTGCTGACAACACTGGGACATGCTTGTTTAAATCAGTGTTGGGAAGCTCTGGTGGAGATGCAGTCTCCAGCTCATTGGCCTTCTGAAAAAGAATTTCATCAGGTGGGAATGATTTTTTTGTTTGATTTGGTGTTGACATATGTTCGCTCGCAAGCTTTCTGTCTGATTTTGGAGACAGAGGTGAAGATCCAACAGCAGGAAAAAGAGGCACAAAAGCTTTGGAAGGAGGACTCCTGTAAGAACCATTTTTACATGGAGAAAAGTCTTTCTGTGTTTTGCTGTGCAGATGAAAATCATTGACATCAACGTGTTTTTCACCAGGAGCTTCTTCTGATACTTTACTAACTGCTTTTGTTGGGGAAGGCTCACAGTAATCTCCCTGAGTTGCAGAAAATAAGTGTTCGTAACTGTCATTGATATTAGTATCAATGGCAAAGCTAAGAAACTCTTTTTCACAGTGATCTTCCCCTTTTACATCGTGTGAGGCCTGAGATGACCTGGAGTCCTTTCCACCTTCGCATCTCCTTGCAGTCTCTCCTTCATCAGTGGTGGCACCACGGGATGCTGCATCCCTCTTTTGAGGTTCTCTGTGGTGAGGCACAGAAGTGATCTGTGTAGCATTCACGCTTCTGTATCTATTTATATTCTGCATTCTCTCTTTTTCTGCAGATAAGTCACATGTAGATGTTTCCACATCACTGTTATCCCTCAAATCCTTGAAGTTACTGCTTACTGAAGAAGATACAGATCTCTTCACCTCTTCCTCCTCAGTTTGCTGGTTCATCTCTTGGGCTGCCTCAGTGTCACTGCACACGCTGCAGTCAGTTCCTTCACTCGGTGTTGTTTTACCTTGAATCATCCTTCTCTGAGTTGCAGCAAACTCATAGATTTCTTCCAGCTCCTGTTCACCCACCGCATTGTCATCCTCCTTCTGGCATTCCTGGTTGAGGTCAGCTACTTCTTCCTCATCTTCACCCACCCACATAGACTTCAAAAGGTCTTGGAAGTTCTCTGCTCTGTCCTCACAATCTTTGTCATCTGTCACGGAGATCAGATCACATTCTGAATCCACTCCAGAAGACATCTGACTCTCTCCAGTGTTATTTTCACAGTTTGCCATCAGCTCCCTCACACCAAACCTGCAAGGATATAATAGTAATGTTAATACCTCCCCCTTTCAGTATTTCCCTGCCTGGTCACTCCTGCGAGCCCTGTGAAGCATCTGCATGAGGATGTTGATTTCCTAACATATAGAAGCTCCAGTGTGCTCCCGACACCCAGAATTCCTTTCTCCAGGTGTCACATGAAAGCATCAGGTTCACTCTTGCTTTTTTTTAAAAACAAACAAACAAACCAACCTTCTAAAAGCATGACTAAAACCCCTTTGACAACTGCACTGGTGAAATCCCCACGGCATGGCAGACAAGGCACCCCTGTGCACACACACAGGCAAGACCCAGCCATCAGTGTCTCAGCTGTTCCTATTCCAGATTCTTTACTCAGTGCACGTCCAGGTTCATAACTGAGAGCATAGCTGACAAAATACATTAGTGTTCTGTGACCTCACACACTCCGAAGTGTTCAGTTTGCACATGCATAGAGTGTAATGCTTTAAGAATCACACATGCTACGCATGCTTCTCATCACTGACATCAGCTGTCAATACAGAGTCTGAGACAAAACTCTTGGCAAAGGTGTGACAGACATATGCTGAAAAAGGAAATCTCACAAAAACTCAACCTGAAGAGAGACTTGTGGGAAACATGAGGGCAGTAATGCTATAGAGGACTATGGAACTTTTAGCCACTAAACCTACAACAGAAGAGCCCAGGTTGTGGGGTCTGCGTAGGGTCTGTCTGTGGGCTGAAAGCAAGAAGGGATCCCAAACAAACTCATGATACAAACCTGGCAGCCAGAGCCCCCACCTGGGGCAGCACCTCAGCAGGGATGTCAGCATCAGCAGCATACAGGTACCGCAGGAAAGCACGGGCTGCCTCTCCTGTCACATCACTCAGTAGCACACGGCGCATCTGCGCGTTGCCATCCTCCTCCACTAAGAACCCTTCACTGTGAACCTGAGGGAAGAGAAAAACAAGTAAAGCCCTCCTAGGGTAAGAGGAAAACAAAAAAAAGTTACTAGCAAAGGAGTATCGATGCTCATATTCATATTTGTGTCAGCTCATTTCTTCCATTCACCAAAGGCTTGGCCTGGGACCAGGACCCGATCCTGACGCGACCAGTTATGAAGAGCTTCATACAGAACAAATTCTTTCCTGCCTGACTCCACAGCTGTTAGATTGGATAAAGTTTGACCACTCGTTGTTTTAGCTAAACATGCAAAATATGGTCTTGAGTTCTCCATTCTGCCTCAGAATCCAGTTACTGCCCAGAGCACAGCTTCCAGAGTTATCTACACCTCCCCCACAGGAAAGCTTCCTCTGTACTTTTTATTAAAGAGTATTAGCTGTTTTGAATTTACCTACTCTTGATAATTGGACAAATCTCTAGTTCTCCTGGTGTCCTGCAGGAAAAGAGACACCAAATAAACCCTGTGTCACTGAACTGGATCACTACCTGTGTAGGTCCAATCTGATTTCAGGTTTTGCTGAGAACATTTCTCCAGTTTAGTAAGGTTTCACTTCCTTTGCAGTCCAATCATGTAACGTGCTACCTGAAACTCTCCTCAAAGTCAGGGGGCATTATGAGCTCCAAAGTCAACTCTGATTAATTACTTTCTCACTGTTACCAGAAAGCTTCAACAAATAAGAGCATCTACACGGAAAATAAATGTGAAACACTGCAGACATGGACCTGGTGGAAACCAACCCTCTGCAGGAATAAAATACACAGAGCGTGGGTCAGTCTCACCACTGTGCTCATGCAAATGATTCCTGCCCACGAAAACAGCTGATGGGAACAGTGAAGCCAAATAGAGTTGCAGGGAAATAAGAAAGTCTGGCTAATGCACTGTTGTTTGTTTGGTTTTCTTAAATCTTTTGATTTGTGGACCCAGGCACATTTGATAGTGGCTGTGAAGATCCCTTAATAAATTTCACATTAAGACTGAAAACTGGGGAACCAATCAACCCAAAATGTTTCCAAGGACACAGGAACCATGCACTATCCCTGCAAAAAGCCCAGTTCAGTGCAGCTACTTCCAAAGCAACTGTGACAATGACAGAACCCCTGTGCAGGTTATTTTCAAGTACTGCCCAGAATTTCTTTAACCCATAATCAACCTTCCCAGTCTGGATGAAAGGCAGGAGATACTAAGATGGAGTCTGCACTGGTATTAATGTAACACCCAAAAGCACAGGGCACCTTGGAAGTTTTCTGCATTGCTCATGGGCAGAATGTAAGTCAGGATCCTTGCCTCCTTATAATTTCTCCAGATAACATCCTATGTGTTTCCATTACTTTGTCAGGATTCTGCCTTCTGGGTGAATCTGCCTGCATGTCTGCAGGCACCTGCCATTAGGACCTGCAGCACCGACTGTAGGTGTGGGCTTTGCTGAAGAAGAATAGGAGTACTCACAGCACAGGAGTACTTACTTAGCAGCAGTACTTACAGTCTGAATGGCCTGCGGACACCGTGCATACAGCACAAACATGTGGGCATAAAGGATTTCCCCAGAGTCCACCTGGAACTGGACATCACTTAGGTGGGGGTTGTTGACCATTGCACTGAAATCTGCAGCCAGCGACCTCAGGGAGGACTAGAGCACAGAATGAACACAAAGACAAGTCATATCACAGCTGTCACACACCTCCCTGACACGAGAATTACCCAGACTGTCAGCACTGCTGTATTGTGGGCCCCATTTTGGATGTGCTGTCATTGCCTTCCGCAGATAAGCAGCAGCATTAGGTGAAACAAGCCGACAAGCCTGTAAGACATTTCTGGATTTGTTTTTCTCCTCCTCCTTTCTACTTCTTCACAGCCTGGCAATGGTGAAGAAATGGCAGCTGTGCTGTACTCTCCTTGCTCTGCCTTGCATTACAGCACACTATAACCATCAGATTTTTGCCAAACCATTTCCTGATGTGGTTTAGCCACTGCCTCCCGTTGGCCTCTTGATCTGCTGCCTTCCACATCATTTTAGGAAACTGTAGTTTTCACTTTGATGGACTGGAGCTCAGTTCATTGTAATAAGAGTAAGAAGAAAGAGGGTGACTCAGTGATGGGGCAGTGAACCTTTCTCCTCTCATTCACTGCCTGGCAGTGACAGCTCAGAAGAGCAGCTCTGCAGCAAGGGGCTCACATGCAATAAAACTAATGCAGTAATCTAGCTGAAAGGAATTTACATGCTTGTTACACAAACTCCTCCTGAAAACTCCACTCAAAAAAGCCCCCAAACAATAACATCAGAAACTCCTAGTTTCTATTACAGTTCCAGAACACCTTGCTGGAAGTTCGAGGAGGGCTTGTTGCCTGAGCTACCTGTGACTGCAAATGGCAATGGCAACATGAGGCTTGGGGCACGCTGCCAAAGGCAGAAACAATATCAAGGGTTGATAGACACGGTTTCTGCTCTGGAGCTGCTCCCAGTACAAACTCACCCCAGGCAATTCTCTACAGATTCAGATCCCTGGAGGAAAATGTGCCTCTGGAGGTGCCCACTGCTTCAGAGAAGCAGGAGATAATCTCAGCTCACAGTTGAGAGAATGAGCAAGTAAAAACCAGTTCATACACAACACACTAGTCATTGACCCTGTGCTTTTTAAGCCTACTGCAGAGTTGAAGAAATGCAAGTCTTACTCTAGAGAACATCTGCATGAGATGCACTTCCACCTGGAACAACACAGCTCTTTATTCTACTAGCAGGTTTCCACCCTGGAGTGTGGAAATCCAACCTTTCTACTTGCTCCAGCACGTGTTTGCAGGCAGCCAGTAATAACGAGCAGTCCAACAGTGGCACGCAGCAGAGCACTTCTTCCAAGACCTCGTAGGTGGCCTACAAAGGCTGTGTGTGTTTGGGAGTGGTGTGGACTGACCTCCAAGAGGAAGATAGGAAGCTCAGTCTGGAAATTAATCTCATGTTTCTTGCTTTCTTATTCTTGGCAGGTGGATACCTGCAAGACAGCCCCTCAAGAAGCCAGCAGGCACAGATCCTGATGCTGTGCTCCAGGCAGCCAGCCCAGGACAGCCTTCCTGCTGATGTTAAAATTACAAATCAAGAATGGGGAAATTAAATAAGACTAAAAACCTCCTGGCTGCACCATTCTCTGTGCAAAGTAAACAGGTTGGTGTAAAAACAGCTCCAGCAGGTACATGATCTTGTAAGAGGAATCACCAAGACACTCTCTCTCCTACAGAAGCCAACCAGACTGGATTCTACAGATGTCACAGGGCTTTTAAGCACGGGGCAGGGAGATGTGTCACTAATGCAGTGGATCTCTTAGCTCTACGTGCTTACCACTGCTGTGTTCATGAAGCACAAATCTCTCTGTCAACTGAACTCTTCATTTGTTTGGGAATCATGGAATTAAACTCGATCTGAACAGTCAATCATCACATTAGAGCTGGTAACTGAGTTCCAGCCACAGGATCAGAACGGTCCTTGCACTGCTAAAGGCATTTGTTCTAATGCTGAGGGGCTTATGAAACAGCATGTTTTATTTGCTATGGATTTTTTTACACCTTCAAAGAACATCTAGACTTTCTATAACAAGTAATTGGGATGCTCAAATTTATTTGATTCCGACCTCAAAGATTTGTCTTCTTTTAGAAATTTCTGAGTTCTACATGCTCAACACAAAATTGTCTTCTCAAGGCACCAAAATTCACCTGGCACCAATTCCTATTACTTTTCATGGCACAATTAGTTATTAGCAAACCAAAGATGGCAAGTTTCATGCGATTAGTTAGGGCTTTTTTTTTAAAACAAACTTTAATTGAAGAAAACTGACTGTACATCTACAGGAGAAAGGAGAGGGACATCCAGGCTAAATGTGATCTACAGAACACTACTGTCTTCATAAGAAATTGTGACTTTCTGGCCTGTGGCTTTCACCACAGAGAGCACACTGGTTGTTCACCTAGTTCCTGTGATATATGTTCTCACAACTGAGGATTTTCTTCTGCTGCTAATGTGAGTGTCTAAGAAGCATGAACAGCACGTTATCCCATCTATCAGGCTTCTATGTCTAATAATTCAGCCTAGGTCAGCCCTTGCAATGATTCTCTCCCACTGGTAAGCGTGATGTGGAAAAGAAGGTGACAGAAAAGGAACAACTCCATTCAGAACCCTACAGAGTCACTGGTATGTGAGCCTGGATGAAGCACCAGGCAGCCCTCTCTCTCCCAGGCTCCAGCTAACATGCTCTGATAAAGCTTGGGAATTCAAGCAGAGTACCACCAACAGCAGTACAGCTACAGCCCTGCTTCCAAATTCTTTTCATGCTTCAACATAATGGTTTAGCCTGATTCTCTTTATATAAACAATGCAGATATTGGCTTTATGTTACCTGTCATTTTAAATCATCTTTCTTGTTAGGTGGGACAAGACAAATTCACAGGTCTGCCTATAGGTATCAAAGAAATACCATGTGCATTGATCTCACCTGTGCCATCATCATCCCTGAGACTGAACCTTCAGTACTTCTGTTTCCATAGAAAGGAAATATTGCTGTTTCCATAGAACAGGAAATATTCCACATTTCTACAAATTGCACAAATTCTATAGTTTCCTTTTTACAGCAGTAAGCAAACACAAAATAAGGGTGGGGAAAAGGTTTTTCCTTACTTTCTTACAGCTGCGTGTCAGGAATCTCTTCTCTTCAAGTAAAGGGACAAAACCAGTACATGGAATATCACTGGAACTCAGCTCTTTTCCTCAAAGAAGAAAAAGTGGATCACAAATCATGAACACCTTCCTACTGAGACAGAGTGATGTAAGATCTCCTAAGAGAATCTTTGCCACAGCAGCTCCCCAGGACAACTGCTACAGTGAGCCTGGCTGGGCTGGCACCCAGCTGGTCCCCCAGGCCTTTCTCAGAGGGGTACGGCTCTGTGCTGCGACAGGCTGTGGGTATGTGAGCACCATTCAGCCACAAGCAGCACCAATCTGCTACAGATCTGTGTGTGAGGTTTTCACCCAAAAGGAGGAATTGCTGAGCACAGCACGCTTCCTCACATCTCAGTTTTCCTCCAGTGGGAAAAAAAACGAGGCACAGAGTGGGATGGGACAAACCCCAGCAGACAGGGAGAGTGCATCTTGGATCTGCATTTCAACCTAGACAAAATGCTTGTGGGCCCCAGAGCTCAGAGGCAGCAGTGAAATAAGAGGAGTTTTGCACAGCCTGATCCGTGTGCTGTGCACAGCCCAGGATGAGGAGCAACAGAAGGAATTGATGTCTTCAGAAATGGGTTCAGTTGCATTACTGTATGCACAATTTACATTTATGTGCAGAAATGATTTCCCTCACCCAGGAACCTGTATCTTCATTGAAATCCCAGCACAAGTTTTACAGGACCAGCAATTATTTGCTGCAGCTTAGTTGGAGAAATGAGGAATATTACATCCAAGAGAAAATGCAGGCAGACAGGTGGTCTCATCAACCATGTTCTGTCTCACAAGTGACCAGGAGACACACAGTACACCCTGCTAAAAGCCCAGGCCGTTTTAAGGGGTGACACTAAAAAGTGCAGCTGTGCACTGTGTGCAACTATGAGTGGCAGGTTAGAGCAGATGTTGTGTTTTTTCACCTGTGCAGGTACAGATAAACTTCAGGTCTGTGTACCAATGGACCAACCACCGCTCTTGCATCTCTTGTTTCCAGAACAAGAAGACAGCACACATAACAGAAAGTGTCCAAATAGTCAGAATGAACATACTGGCCCTGTCACTGGATATGCCTGGGCTCTGTGCTGGCAGAAAAGCCTCTGATAACCTTACAGGAATTTTAAAATAAAATGTAGTATTTGCTGCTGGGAGTTCTCAGTGACGGGACTTACGACTCATTTTAGAAACGTCTGCTGATTGTAACTAAAGCTTACTGCAGAGAAATGTTCACCCACAACATCACCTCCCGGATCATCAGCCACCTGTGGATGCTCTCATGGCTCTCCTGACACGATACAACCCAAATCTGGCTCTGTGTAGCTGCAGCAATTAGGGACAGGGCTCAAGAAACTGCCAGAACTCACCTGCCTGCTCTGCTGCACGAGTATGGCCAACATCAAGGTTCCACTGCGTAAGGGTAAGTCCTTCCCCAGCCAATTCAACTAGATCCTGCAGGTTCTGAATATCCTTCTGGCTGTGAGATAAAATCTGCCCACCTCCTTCAGGGCTTGACTTGAATTCATCACAGGTTTGGTCTCTAATCTCTCTGCAAGTAGACTCATGAGAACCAAAGTCAGGCTGAATTTGCTGAGATACTTTTGGCTGATCAGATCCTGCTGATGGCAGAGCATCCTCTGGTTTATGATTCTGATCAAAAGAGGGGAAAAAGACACCAATAAGTTAGGTGCAGTGTGTATTTTTAGAGCTCAGAATACAGTTTCAGAACATCTAGTAAAGAATTACAGAGCATACCTCGGGCTTCCAAGGCAGAAACTGTAATTTTATGAAGGACACTCTAGAGGAAAGATAGCTATAAAGGGAAAAAGGGAAAAGGGAACTACAGGAGAAAATATAGGAAAAGTGGTTTCACAAGGTGCACGTCTGTGCAGGCAACTGGCAAGGAAGAAGAAAGGATGGTAGAAATGTTCCCAATTCAACATCCAAATATTTTATTTTTGCTGAAGTGTTTGGCAAAAGCTGTAGCTGAAGCTGCCCAGGTGCTTCTGTTCTGAGATCTAAAGATACTTTTGCAGTCACAAGTAACCATGCCAAACTTTCACCTCTGAGCTGATATTTTCCAGGTTTGATTTCTGCTTCCCACTGAAAACAGTTTTGTTCATTTCTCAGTAGAAATGGCTTAGCCATTTCTGAGAACGGAAGGAATGAGACAGGCAAACACGGCCCTGATTTTAAAGGTCTCCCTCCTTTTTAAACTTCTCTGGTGCTTTTTGTTTGAGAGGTCGAAAATCCACAAAGAATGGAGTCCCTCTATTATAGCCCTAACAGCAAAAAAACAGTGAAAAACACTGCAATTTGACAAGGGAAAAAGTTATTTGAAGAAGTACCTACATACACACAGTAACTTTGGAAGAGAAGCACCAAACAATCCTTCAAGTAAGGCATATGGGAAGGAAGAGAAGTAATATATTTCCTCTTGGTGAGTAAGTCTGTAGTAAGATGAGAGATTAAAAGACTTGTGTCCCTTCTGAAGGCATGTTTTATAAAAATACAGAGCATTGAAAGAGGCAGGAGATCTGGATGAAAAACAGAATGAAACAGTGGAACTGAAAACAAGATCAAAGCTCATGTGCCAAGAGTCAGTGGGTTGCATAGGGAAAGCCTGAAGTGCAAATGCTTCACTTTACAATCCTGGGCACTCTCACCTTCTCTGTGAAAGGCAAAAACAGCAGTCTTCAGTTTAAACTTTTCACCTAATTCTTTGCTGCCTGAGCACAACACAGAGTCATGTTCCAAGTTGGAGGGGACCCACAAGGATCACAGAGTCCAATCCCTGGCTCCACACAGGATCACCCAAATCCAAACCCTGTGTCTTGGAGAGGTGTCCAAATGCTCCATGAGCTACAGCAGTTTGGGTCAAAAAGCAGGGTAATACAAGCCTTGGTTTCTCTCCAAAAGTAAGGATTGAAAGTTCAAAATCACAAAATCCAACAGCACAACCAGGGGACAACAGTAAAGGAGAACTGAGTATGCAAAGGCAGGGGGTCACATTTAAATATCAAGTGATGCAACAGGAAAAAGTTGCAGGGTGAGGGACCTAGGACACATACAAACCACAGCGTGGACGAAAGAGCGTCCTACCTGCACAGGCTTCCAAGGTTCAATCGGAGGGGTTAACCCAGCAGCATAGAAGGATTCAGGGTCACAGGGTCCTGTCAGAGCACTGAAATTCCACAAAAAGCAGTCCCTGTTTTTGGGCAATGGCAAGAGCCAGGCTGCTTTCCCAGATTCAACCTCCAAAATCCTGCTGGTGGGAAGCTGAGGAGTGGGAGGGAATTCCACCTCTTGTGCAAGCAGCACAGCTAGCCTCTCTTCTATCCTTCTGCGCACCTTCGCTGGATCCTGCAGCAGTAATGGAGGAGGGGTAGTTGGGCCTCTTCTACGTCGCCTTTTTTCTTTAAGAAAAGAAAGAGGAACCCAAATAAACAAGCAGCTGAGCACATAGGGCAGAGGAGCTCACACGCTAGCTCCTTCAAGCGTTGCAGTCAGTGACAACCAAAATGTAGCTGCAGGCTGAACGCAGCCCTCAGCATTTCTGCAAGGAGTCCGAAGCCTCACGTCACCCCTATTGGAGAAATGAACTCCAAAAAAATGGCCTCATGCTTGCACAGCTCTGCTCTATGCTTAAAGATGCCACATCTCTACAAAATCTGACCATTACAGCTGATATTCCTGCAGTGCACCTCCCAGACCCACAGCATGGTGCCTATATAAATGGGTTTCGATAGATCCCAGAGCTGCACTAAAAAGAGAGGGAAAGAAAACAACCAAGCAAATCTATGAAGGACTCTTTTTGTGCATATGCGTGTCATGGTCGCTGATAGTATCAAATCACAGCCCACACAACCACAGCACAGCTGCTGTTTGGCAATCCTGTGTTTTACTACCTGTCTCTTACTAATGCCCAGCCCCTAATCCAACTGCCAGGATGAGATCTGAGGTCACTAAGAGTGAAGTTCTCTATGCAGCACTCAGGACTCTCCACTGACCAGCTGTCTTCCTTTCTAAACTCTTGTACACTGAAAGAGCAAAGCACAGGCTCAACAGCATGTAAGACACATAATGTCTGCTATAGAAAGAAAACAGAGAGAGAAACTGCATCAGTCAAGGCTGCAGTAGGATGAATATGAGAAAAATCTACTGCATGAGAAACAACAATGTTATTTTTGAGTTATTTCTTTTTACTTCCACAGCTTACAAAAATACAATAGCTCACCTTAACAATATTCTACAGATTCAAAACAATCAGTGAAAAAAAAAAAAAAAAAAAAGAAAAGCACGAGATTCATAAAAGATTTCTCTAAAACCAACAGACATGACGCAGTCCTTCTTGGTTGTGTGTGGATTCTACACACTGCTGAAGCTCTTACAGATTAAATAAAATATGAACAGGGCTGTCATCCCTCCTGTATCCAACAGGAAAGTGAAAAGCAGGCTGAGTTACATCATTCCTCCCACAACACAGTCTTTGACATTAATTCACTTTAATACATACCTGATCCTGGCTTCCATCTGATTGGCAAAGCAGCCACTGGTTTCACATTTGTAACTGATTTTGCTTGTTCCTGCTTTTCTTGCTCCAACAGAGAGCGTGACATCGCCATAGCAACCAGCAAATCTTCATCCTTAGTCTCCATTTTTGCCCTCTTCTGCTTGTTCTTTGAGTCCTCTTTGGAGGAGACTTTTCGCTTTGACCTGCTTGGTTGATTGCTGAAATGGAAGAATGCAGCAGGAAGCTCAATTTAGCATGACTGAGTCAGAGACAAGAAATGCCAAGCACTTCAGAGAAGCTGCTCTACTTCATCAGAGTGATCCCCATCTCTGGGATAATGAGAAACTATCTGGAGTGCCTTCTTTTCCAGCAGAGATTAGATTCCTTATTACCTACAGAACCCTGAGAAAACCTTACTTTGAGAAGGTAAGCATGAGACCACAACAGTGACTGAAGTTTCGTGTGTTTTTTAAACACCTGCAATCTCTATCCTGAACACTTTAAAATATGTATGAAAAGGCAACAATTAAACAAAGTTGAAGCAGGATGAAAACAAACTCACAAAAAGAAGAGAAAAAAAAAAGCACTCCCAGTCTGCTGTGCAGCAGCACCCTCTTTGGACTTGGGCCCACATGAGCCTGCCTTGCTTCTACAGTTCTTTCCAAAGACTGCAAGGTCAGTGTCTCTCAGGACAAAGGAACACTTTGCATCTCACTGCTTTTAAACTAAGGGCAGGGTTAGGTTAGATATTAGCAGGAAGTTTTTCATTCAGAGGGTGGTGAGGCACTGGAACAGGTTGCCCAAGGAGGCTGTGGATGCCCCATCCCTGCAGGCATTCAAGGCCAGGCTGGATGTGGCTCTGGGCAGCCTGGGCTGCTGGTTGGCGACCTGCACACAGCAGGGGGTTGGAGCTGGATGAGCACTGTGCTCCTTTGCAACCCAGGCCATTCTAGGGTTCTATTTTCACCACATACCTGGGAAATTGAAGAGGTGCCTCACCAAGCGTGGACACCTGCATCTGCACTGCCTGAAGAAGCATCTGAGGAGGAACATCCATCTCAACAGCACAGCGTTTCAAGTGACTGACTCGGCTTTGGGGGGTTTGGAATTGCTTCCCACAGATGGGACATTCAGGGACTGCTGATTTGCTGGAGGATGACGTCTGTGCTTCTTCCATCTCATCCAGACACCTGTGAGACAACAGCAAAGCTTTACAACTATCCACACTACTTTTTAAGCCCCGCTGAAGACAAGGAAGTACAACCATCTCACATCTTTAACAGCCAAGGAAACATCCCCTAACAAAATGATGTGCCTGCTGCTGTGATGGCTGTGACGTGTAACAGAGAGCTGAACGTTACAGCCTCAGAGGCACATTAACAATATGCTGCTCAGGAGCAAGTGCAAGCAATAAACTTCTTCTAAAACTGTACTGTGTGTCCGTCATCTAATCCCTCTTTCTGCATCCATTCTAACATTCCAGCTAATTTATAAGCCACCATTAAATGTGGAATCACCCTACCAGAGAGGCAGTAAGTCCTTCTCACCCAAAATGTGGCTATTTCTTGTCACTGATCACTTCTGCAGGCATGACCTCATACAGTGCTGAGAAAGCAAGCCACCTTCAAGGCAGACATCTCTCTTGACAATGGCAGCTTTTTTTGCCACAGAAAAGCAGAGTGGTTGAAATGAATGCTGCACTCTAGAGTACTGGACAATTAACTGCTAATAATTTCTGGTATGCCAAGACTGTGGAAAAGTTACAGGTTCTTTTTCCTTCCTCTCCAAAGAGATACGCAGTACCTGTTTGTGTCACAAAGCATGCTATAAAAATCACTCCCTGATTAGGACATAAAGCACAGAACCTGCAGACAAGGGGCTGTATAACAGACCACTCTTGATATCCTAGGACTGGTGATTACCAGTTTGCCAAGACATCCATCCATCTGCAGCTTTACGTCTTATGATGAAGACTGCCATCAAAAAATCCACAGCCAATAACCTTGCAATCTCATTGTATGACCACGTTTAACAGCTCAGAAAGACAATTCTCAAAGTTATTCCTGACACTGGCACTGCTTTGGAGCGTCTGCATTCCCAACAAGTATCTGAAAACAAAAACAGCAGCAGCACCTCCAAAAATGCAGCTGTAGGCAGTGCAAGTGAATGTGAGCTGCTCAAAAACAAGCTGTAGAACTGAGCAGACCAAATCACTCTTCAGCCCCTTAAAGTGCTGACATTAAGACAATACAATTGTTCAAGTGTGCTGTTTCTGATAGCTCCTCAACAGACTGCTAATCTACAAGAAGCCATCTGCACATCATGTATTAACACTATGTGATATTTACAAGTAAGGAAAATGCTCAATTAAGGGCACTGATTTCAGCTTAGTTGCTCACCATTCTGATAAGGCCTTCTCTTCTCCTCTCCACTCTCACTGACAAATGCTGTAATGCAACTTTCCCTCTTTCAGAATACTTTTCCCTCAGCAAACAACTCAGGTGTGCACTGACATGTTAAATGACCTTATGAAAACCATTTTTAGCAAAATAGAGCAAAATATCACTTTGTGGACTGAGATTGGCAGGCCTGCAATAACAGCTCCTCATTACTTCTGCTAGCCACTTCACACTCACAGCCCCTCCAAGGCACTACTGATAAAAGCAGCATTTACCTTAACACGTTTCTGCAGAAGCCCTGCAGGGCGAGACAATCAGCTTCTGCTTTGAGATCAAAGCAACTTGCTAATTCGAGCCATTAAGGTCAGTGTCACCTCTCAGATTACCGTGTTCTGTAATGGCTAAGCTGACTGAACAGGGAGAAGATGCAAAGGACTCATCCTGCTGGTCCCTCACCTGTTAACATGCTGCTCTCGTCGCGTTGAGTTCATAGCTGAGAGATCCTTCTGGCAGATCTGACAGAAGAACAAACCTGCATCCTCCAGGCTTTCCAGGGAATCCTTCTGTGTTTCCTGCTGAAGGGCCAAAGCCAGAGCACCGTCATGCTGCATGCACTGAAGATCACAGAGATCTGGCAAAAGAAAGGAAACGTGATAAGCTAAGACAGAGAATGAAGAACCCTGTATGAAAGGCAGGGAGTTATTACACTTGTCATTACCAAACCAGACACACAGAAGTCAGCTCTACAATCTTCCTCCTGTACCTTCACATCTCTTTTCTCACAAGGTAATGTACAAAACGCACTCTTTAAATAACACAGAACTACTCTACTCTGGGAGCAGCAGGTGGCATTCATAGCACATCACACTGCCAAGGCAGGTAAGCTTTAGCTAAAGTTGCTAAGAAGAATTGGGGTCTTAAACATAACCACACAGATTTCGTGTTGATGCAGAAAGAGGGCCTTGATATGAAATAAACAAACAAATAAACGAGTGAAAGCAGAGCAAAATTTCTGTGAGTTCAGTTCACCTGCACAGAACATACTAGCTCTGAAGAGCTCTTGGTGGGCTACCAATGATGGGGTCATTCTGTGAGTCATATTCACCTCTCAAGGGAAGGATGACACAGTGGACTGACCCCGTCAGAACTTCAACCTGCTTCCAGGTTCAACTAGCCCTCCAGAATGTAACATGAGATTAATTCAGGCTCAGGAAGGAGCTGGGAGAAAGGAATGGACAGTCCTTCAACGACTGAGAAAGCAAGTTTTCTAAGAGATTTGGAGTGCTGCATGTGCAATGAGCCACTGGGCTAGCTGGGAACAAAGCCCAGGAATCCGGGCTCCTTCTCAGGCAACCATTCTAACCAACCCACAGCACTTTTTCTGCATGTACAAAAGCAAGGAGGACAAACTTACCATTCTCTGCTGAGTTCTGCTCTTGGCTTTCACCAGCAAAATCTCCGCTGGTTAAGGACTTTGGCAAGCTACAATCTGTGCTGTGTTTTAGCTGATCAGGTGCCACTCTCTTGAACTGCTGCATTCTCTCCACTACCAGCTCTGCCACCCGCACCTTGGCGCCTGTGAGAGGTGGAATCTTTGAGGTGGGTGAGGAACAGGTCCCTGGCTGTGTCGCAGGATGGAAAGATAACGTTGTTTGGGAGCAACCACTCCGACTATTTACTGGAAGGGGAAAGAAACAGCAGAGCTTTACCAGTCAGTCTTAAACACATCCCTGAGCTGCCCAGAGAGCTGATGGGAAGCCAGGCTAAGCCAGGCTCAGCTTTGCAACACTTATTCTTAGACAGAGAACTGAACAATGTGTTCATGTTCAGTGTATTATGTGACTCTGTGATTGATAACCACAGTAACAGTATCAAGCTTTCCTGCTGCAATGCAGTTCAAATACCTCTCCATCCCCTTCAGAGAGGAATATTAAGGAAAACTTTGTCTGAAGGTCATTAGGGTCATTAGTGAGAAGAACAGGTAACACAGCCCTAAAGCCCTGTTCTTCCCAATGCACAACGTCCTGATGGCTCCTGATATTCTTTGCTCTGACCTCCACAGGCGTTTTTCTAAATTCTGACACTGTGAAAATCACTGAATCATGACTTCCTAATAGATTCCTTTGTGATAACACCACATCTGAGAAAAGATGAACCATTTTACATCATCTATACAGAGCACACTGTTGGGTTAAATGCCTAAATAAGCCTACGTAACTAAGTGCAGATGGAAACTCCTTCAACAGTGCTGCTATTCGTCTTCTCCAGGTGAAGAGCTCCACTCTTCTCAGTGTATTTTCTGTTTTGGTTGACTCACCTGTCAGAGTCCCCTGGCTACAGTCACTGGCTGTGGAACTCAGCTGGCTGGCAGGGAAAGGGCTTCTGCTTCCATCCCCTTCTGAAGTGTCACCACTATTGCAGGCCGCAGTGTCACTGTCTGCTTTGTGCCCCAGTGTTTGTATCCTAGGACCCAAATCCTGAAGCAAGCTTTTTTGCTTTGCAGATGGAAAGAGGTGATGGTTTTGGCTCTTAGCAGCAGCTTTGCCTCTTCTTACTCTGCTTTTTGCTGCAGTATTCTTTGATCTTTTCTGAGCCCTCTTTGCTGCCTCAGTATCCCCAGATTTTTTCTTCCCTTTACCCAAAAGATTTGCCCACAACTCTTTAAAGTCATTGTCCTGTTCATCCATTGGCCTGCAGGTTCCAGTAACGCTGTTTTCTAATGACACTGTGTGGACTGAAGGAGAGCAGAAGACATCAGAATCAGCTCAGGTGTGCATCCTACATGACCTTTTCCATCCCCTCAGGGAGCTCCGACCTCCAGAATTCACTGAGGTCAAAACAGTGGGCATTTCCTCATCGTTCCCGCGGTTCTTTCTTCCACACTTAATTCGCAGCCATATTCTCTCTTCACAGACCCCACTTGCCTTCACATATACTGCACTGACAATCTGGCTCTTCAGATGTCTCTAGACCATAAAGTAAACACTGCAGTTTGTGCAGAGCACGCACAGGTTCTTCTTGGTATGCTACAGGGCTTCAGAAAGACACCTAGGAAAGCCCTGAAACAAAGAAATACACAAGGGGGTTATGTGGGGTGTCATATACACATGCAGGATGTGAAAGGGCAGGGGAGAACCAAATTTGTCCAAAATAATAATAGGACAAGCATGTACTGATTCAAACCACTACAGCTATACTACAGCCAACACAAGCCACATGAGGAGAGAAGAGGAAAGCTTTGAAAGCACGCATCTGATACTGGGTGAGCTTCTGCCAAGGGGCTTCTTCTTAAAAATAAATTCATACTTACACTTGTGACAGTGCACCTGTAACAGGGAGAGCCTCACTTCTTTCTGAGAAGTAAATAAAGGGAATTTCTTGCATTTCAAGAGGGTTTCAAGGACAAGTCTTAGAAAAACTCTATCTGGCACGTTCATCTTTTCTGGCCCCCATGGCCTGCTCACGTTCAGCTCCAGCTCCCCTGCTAACACTCAACTCCTCCAGTGAGTACACAGTAAACTACAGCACTAACCATGTCACATAGACTGCTGTCAAACACACAAGGTAAACAGACTAAACAAATGATATTGCAGGGTTTCTTCATCTTTTTCAGCTATAAAAAGCTATACTAGCTATGAATTACTTGGAAGAGCGCTAGCTGTAATATCCAGATGGAAATGTCATCAATCCCCAGGCAACATTAAAACTAGATCTCTATTCTTAGACATTTTGATTGTCCTCTTCTTCCCAGTCCTAAGCTCACTACAGTTCTGGCTATTTTATCAGAGGTTTTATACTGCTCCCCAAACCTAATTCTTTCTAACAGAGTGTTTCACTTGGAATGGCAGCAACTGTAGCTCAGTTTCTCCAGCAAAGCTCTGGGCACCGAAAGTCTCAAAGAGGAGGAAAAACACAGGCAAGATTGTTTTCTCAAATGGTTTGGCTGCAGACAGGCAAGGCTGAGGAATGCTGGTTACACACTTTCATGGGTCAGCCTTTCCTATAAGCAATTACAGATGTTAATGGATTTATTTTTTTTAGACATAGCCTCCTGAACGAGCAGAGGATTTTGCTGTGAATCTTGGAGTCATTTCCTGCCAGAGAGAAACTGAAGTTTTATGTAGCCAGTTCATAAATTTCATTTTCCTGGACAGAATCTTGGTGCAGTTATTGCTGTAAATTAACCTTTTTCTTCTAAGTAGGAGACAGTGTGTGCAGAAAAATAGAATCTCACATCCTCCACGGCCTTAAATACTTCTCACAGACACACTTGTACTGTCAGCTTATTTACAGCCAGTGCCTGACAGTAAATTTTGAAACAGATCTGCACTTTTGTGTTTGCAATCAGTGTTCAGTGCCCCATGAAGACCACGTCAAACACAGAAACAATGCAAAACTAACGAACAATTTATGTCTTATTCTTCCCTTTCCAGACTTGCATGCCCAGGCTCCTGCTCTGCATCTCAGTGTTTCCGATGCTGCTACTGTCGGTGTGACCTGACAGCCAGTTTTGGCATGAGTTTGTAGAGCTGGAAAAGTAATGGATTTGAAAATAATTGCTCTCAGTATAGCTTTCAATTCACTTTGGAAGGATTTAGGACTCTACAAATCACAGAAGCTGGTCAAATAAAATAAATGCTGGCACTTACCTATCTACTTAGATGCCAAATCTTCAGCTGTGCCCGTCACGTAAATGAGGATCATCAGATCAGAACAAAGCAAGATCAGTAAGAATGGAAGATGGAAGCTGACAAACGAAAGGAGAAGGTGAGAGTTAGTGTACACTGCACTGATTGCTCTTCTTCATCATAGTTCCAGGGTGTGAGAGGAGGGAGAAGGAAATGACACGTTCCAATGGTGCTGTGTTTTGCCTCTGGCATTGACCTGTGTAAGTAAGGAGGAGACCTGCACACGTCGCTCAGGTCTGCTCAGCCCAGCACCACTGCCCCAGTGCCACGTGCTGAGAGCCCAGCAGGCAGAACGGGTCGGATAGGATGGACAGAGCCCTGAGCAACTGCTCACAGCCAAGGGTGGGCGAGCAGAAGCTTGGACCAGAGACCTCCTGAGGTCACCTCCAGCCCGAGTTATTCTAGGATCCTTCAAACAGCCTGTCATAGCCTTTCCCATTTGGGACTCATTTTGTTTCCTAGAAACTTTCTTGAAAACCAGAATGGCAACATTTCATTCTTAAAAAATCCTCCAGTGTTCAGTGTCATCATCGTCCATCCACACAGCACGCTCAGCCTTTCTGATCCTGCAGCTTTTATGGCCACAGGCATCTGCTGAACGAGCTCCCAGAGAAAGCAACACTCTTACATCAGGTCTCTTTCCCTTCTTACTTCATTGACTGTCTGTTGATGAGACAAGCAGCACAGAAGCTCCAAATCTACTCTCTTTAGACCACTTAATACTTTATTAAATAATACGTATCACATCTTCCAGATTCTGTTCTCTAAAATAGGAGTCCTTCTATTGTCTCATTTCCCAGGAGAATCCCTCCTGGTCCCTCCCCATCCCCATGAGTATTCCCTGAACCTTCACAAAGGATTTCTATGTAAACTGTATTAATTTGCTCTTTCTTTCATGGTTTGCTGACGAATTCAAACCATCCCACTGAGACAAAAACATACAATGATGGACATCCCCAAAGAACTCCACGATCATTTCAACCACTTCAATAAGGACACTTTAAACACTGACATGTTTGCAATTACTTAGTTCAGTCTCAGAATCCTTCTAGGAAAAAAACAGGCAATATATCTGTTACCCTCCCACCTTCCAGAGCAGCTTCTCTCACCAACTGAAAGCAATTCTAACAGCAACCCAACCACCTGACACCACCTCTCCTGAACTTTCAGATCTGCACCACCTGGGCCTGTCTGCTCACTGCTTTTCAACTGCCCACTTGGTCCACAAAGAGTTCTCCTGCCTTTTTGGTCCCCAAGAATATGTCACGATGGCTGGGAGCAGAGCAATGCTAGGTGTGCCTCAACACCACTTGTCCCTTCTCCCCTTCTGCCCCAAAGCACTACACATCATCCCCAAGGGCTGACCCCAAAATTGTTTACTAACAGAAGGCCCCACACTACACCAAAAGGAAAGTGCCATGCTACGTTGTGAGCAATTTCTTGGTCTTCCTAACAAACACAAGAGCAATCACTCTTGTAGGGATTACTCAGCACTGGGAAGTAAGGCAAAGACCAATCCAAGCGATTTTCATTTTTCTGTGACAGCACAAATTGCAGCATCCTGCAGCAGCCCCTCTCCCCACGGAAGAAGCAGCCTGCCAGGCTCAGCATTCCTGCCTGCAGCGTGGGACCCCCATAGCAGGAAACACGGGGCATGTGCTGCAGGATGGGTGGCACCTGTCTGAGCAGGAGCACCTGCTCCCACTTCCTCCAGCAGCAAGATCAACTTAGGAGCGGTCCTGGGCCTGTAAGGCAGGCCTTGATTTAAAGGGAAGTCAAAGAACAGGAGGACTAAAGCAACCGTTATCTATCTCCACGGTCTTCAGAAGCAAGTTAATTGCCATGGTGTATGGATCTAGGGTGCTAATTACAGTGCTGGCAAGACACTGGGATTCATGCTGTTAAGGTGGCACTGGAAGTTTTGTTGCCCCATCCCCTTTTTTTGAAAGCTGCAGCCTGAAGATGTGGAGGTTGGTAGTGAAACTCTGGGTCGTGCCAGTCCAAACACTGCAAAGGGAAAGAATTTCCGTAGTGTTTGCTCTGGAAGCCACACCAGGAAGATAATCCCTAGGGATTTTTCCAGACCAAATCTTATAATAAAAAAATCTTCCTATAGGTTCCCAACGTTTCCCATTCCTGATGGAGAGCAGCACGGCGTGTCCACAGCATAATTTCTGGAATTTCTATAGATTTCTTTAAAGATTCCTCACTAGACTCTGTGCTAAGCAGCACCTTCATCACACACACTGCTCCACAAAGTCACAGTGCCAGAACTGCACAGGGCAGGTTCTCTTTGTCTGTGGAAGCACAATCCCATTATTACTGAGGACAGCAAGGAGGAGAAAACAACCGAGTGCAGAACAGGCATTCAAAGTCAGGTACCAAGCCCCAGCCCTGGCCCCTGACTGCTTTCCTGTGCCAGAAAAGGGTAACAAAACCAGATGTGGAAGCATGTGAAATGACAAATTATTGCAAGCCTATATAAGCAAGAAAATGATAGCTAGGAACAGGTTGTAACAAGCAACCTTAGCACTGGCCAGTGTCCACATCTGCCTGCCACCACCCCTTACGTTACTTTATATCCCATCAGGGTCCTGTGCTCACGCTTCTCAAGTCTCTGCCTCCCCCTGCTAGTGCCTGCTACATATGGTAAAGCACTTCAGACCCAATAAAAACTCCATCACACGTTAATTTAAGTCGCTACTTACATGACAAAATGTCCCTCTACATTTTGGACGCTGTAGAAACCAACCTGAGTTTATAAAAGCCTTCGCCAAGAACAGATTTTTATTTTATACCTCCTAAGGAAGGATAAAGGGGAAGTAACGTAAAAATAAAGAGTAACGGTTGCTCAGGTGCAAATGCCCTCTGCTTGTATGCAAACACAGCAGCACGCCAATCAGCGGCACACGCAGCTGGGGCTCCAGAAACGGGTACTTGATAGGACTGAAATCAACAGGAAAGTTATTGATTTAAACAGAACCCAAACCAAAGGACTCGACAGCAACATACCACAGCGGTTCCAGTAAAGGGAACAGTACTGAGTAAGCAGTAAAATTACATAAAATACACATTCTGCTTAGAAAAGGGCTTTCAAGAAGAGTCCTTGCTGTGCATCAAAACAAGGAATTAAAAAAAAAAAAGGGGGTATTTCTATTGGCAGGGTCGGAGCTTTTGGAAGCAGAAGCCACAGCTCCTCACACTCTTAACTGGGAGTCCTCAGAGGGACGGCTGGGGGGTGAACGCCCTTCCTTCCAACAGAGCCCAGCACTGGGCCATTAAAGAGGAGCCGATGACTCGGGACCGACAGCCGCAGCCCCGCACATCCCGCTCGGATCTGTTCCCGCCGCCCGGCCGGGTGACGTCACCCCCCGCACCGCAGTCACCCCAAAGGCCGACACCGCCCCCTCCCCGCCGGCAGGTGGCGCCGCGCCGACAGGTGGCGCCTCAATGACGTCATGACGTCGCGCCGTCCGTCCGCCCGCCGCCACCCCTGAAGCGCGGTTCGCTCGGCCCTGCCCGCACGGCCCGCCGCCCCTGCCCGGCCCGCCGCTGACCTCCTCGCCGCGGCACGGCGAGCTCCCGCCGCTCCTCGCGCCCCACCGCCACGACGGGCAGCACCGCCGCCCAGCCGCAGCGCATGCGCGGGGCGCCAACCGTCGCCCTTACTCCGCGCCGGGCGCGATGCGCATGAGCGCGGCGCATGTCAGGATGGCGCTGGCAGTGCTGCGCATGCACAAACGGTTAAAAACGCCGCACTGCGCGCATGCGTGTGGCCCTCCCGCCACTGCTTGCTGCGGTGTCGAGTGGCCCTCTGCCCCCCACAAACAGCCCTCCTGAGGCGAAACACGTGTGTACGTGTTTCTACACTGCCTTTGGATTTTATTCCATTATGGGAGCAGAAAGAAACAAAATCACTCCTGGTACCACCTCTTAGGCGCAGAAGCAGGGGTGGAGGTCACAGGCTGTCAGTTACAGTCAGCTATCCTGAAAGCCACCACCACACAGCACTGCTGGCTGTGCGCAGTACCGTGACTCCTTCATGCATTACAGATGCGCAGCTGTACCTCGCTCCCTAATTTGACATAAAATAAATGGACAACATCATAGCATTGCCTGTTTAGAAACCTTACAGCACACACACAACAAAACTGCATAAAAGTTAAAGCAGAACACGCAGCTGGGACACCATGCTTTTTCACTTCCAGCAAAGCAATTTCTTTTTTAAGCTGTATTAAATACAATACTAGCTAGAAACCTTTGAATTCTGAGCAAAGGGCTGGTGGTTATTTTGGAAATACTCATCAGTGTGTTTTACGCAGTGCCAGGAGGTGCCGTCTGCCCACATCCGGAACAAGAACCCAGAAATGATATGAAGAAATCCTTTGGTTTGTGTCTTCTGACACTTCCGCTGGTTTATTCAGGTTCTTTCTCAAGTTACTGCACCGTATGGGAATTAGAAGCACTCTTCAGAGAACTCTGCAAGAACTTGCAAGCAAACATTGCACAAACACTGAAGAACACTCCACGTGTGGTGCATGGGGGCACTGCGAGAACCACTGAGCTGAGGTGACATTGATTGCACAATACCATAAATGTAAAAGCACTAAATATATAAAATAACCCTAACTAATCAGTAGAGAAGCAGAAAACTTAATTTAGGCAAGAAAGCTCAACTGTTCCAAGCAACTCAAGCTTTGCCTGGTGTTTCCAAAGGGGTGATGCAAAGCAGGGACCAGATGGGATCGATGAACTTGCTGAGCAGCCCACAGAAACTTCAGAGCCTCCTGCAAGCCTCAGCGCACATTCCTGTCCCCCCAGCTATGGTGCAGCACTGCTGGCATTGGAACTGAGTGGCCACGGCCTGGAGGGTGCCACAGAGTAGGAAGACTTGTGGGAGGAACTCTGTGGGCTGCATGCCCTGTCACATGGATGGGGGAACACAGACACAGCTCCAGCAAAAGCAGCCTTGGCACCACGATGCTGTAGCTTCCTCTCTTCTATTGCATTTCCTGCAGACAAACACAATTTTCTATTCCAGAATTGATGAGCACCAAAGAACAGGGCTCCTCAAAGGTGTGAAACATGTAACCTGTGCAAACACTTTTTTCCACTATTTGAATCCTTTCAAGCTTATTGTGTTCAGTGCAAGGAATGCAAACACCTTGAGCCTTGGTGATGTACATAGTGCAGACTTACACAGTCCACACTGCACAGAACAACGTGAATTGTGCTATTTCTAATATAGACCCATCCAAAGGCACAAATGTTTACCAGTGTGTGCCAGCTACCAAACTGATATCTATTTACAGGACATTTCCAGGCCTCTCGCTATTCCTAAGGGCAACAAGACATGGTTTCTGCCACCAACTCTGTCTGCTACTTGTACCAAACATCACTCAAAAACCAAAAAGGCATGGAGAGCACGGCCTGGGTGAAGTAAAGCTGCTTTGACAGACACATCTGAAGTATGAGCATAGGGCCTTGGTGCCTTAAACTTTAGTACGAAAACCTCAGCTTCACTGAATATGGGAGATTGGTATTGGGTGAATTACAGCCATTGGACACATCCATGAAATAGAAAGGCTTATGATACATGTTGCATTTACTACTGCACTTTGGCATGGAGTTTTCCTTGTAGAAAACTACTACTATGGAATTCGTGGGCACTCTACTACAATTATTCTGAAATTCTGTGGAGTCAGAGGGCAAACACACGCATCTGTGCTAAGACCTGTAACACTGGTAGCTCTTTAGCAGCTGCAGATTAACTTCGTAAAGCTTTCAACACAAATTGGTTCAATAAGTCAACAGTGATCAGAGAAGCAGCCAATAGAGCCAATTCCAACAGCAGAGGTAGAGCAGGTCAGAGTACAGTTTAGGTTTTGCACTGATGTATCACATTAATCTGCCCCTCACAGAATCTGATGGACTTTGGTCGTGCTGGCTGGCAGAGCTCAGCACGGTACTCAGTGCACCGATGGTCTTGAAAGGGCAAAGCAGTCAGCAGAGCAGCACTGACCTCCAGAGGAGTTATTTTTTGCAGTTATTAAATGCAGATTTGGGGATGGAGCATGCCATCATATCCATCGCCACTTTCAAACCTGCCAAAACATAGGGATGTTTCCATGCAGTAAGTCAGACAGCACAAGTTAAGAGCGTGCATTTCAGATTGATTTGTTATTAACCAAAATCTGCCTGGTATTTGTCTTTACCTCTCAGGAGAATAGTTTCCAAGAAGAATCAGTCTCATCTGGTAAGGGAGCACTAACCGTATGCTAAGGATCTCTACAATTGAAAACAGAACATCAAAGTGAAAAAAGAAACAAGCAAAAAAAGCCCTTATGTTTTGGTTTCTAGAAGCACGTTGCAAGATAATGCAGAATACTTGTTTTCTTGAAATATCTGCCAAACCACTTTGGAAAGAACAAGTCCAGAGATTGAAATACATAAGTGAGACAACACTCAAGCTGGATCTCCCTCTGCCTCCAGTCACAGCTGTGACTTCCGAAGTTTCTACCAGTTCAATGTGGGGCAGTTCCACTACAGCTTTACTTACTGATTTATTTCTGGAGCAGGTTTTTACCCCAATTACCCCTCATTCACTTGGGCTGCAAAAGGAGAACCAAGTTTTGCTTGGCTTCACAGACTGCTTCTTTGTTAACTGCTATTACCTGACCCCAAATCCCTCGCAGATAACGTCCTAACATTTGGAGCAATACTGTATAGATATGATTAATGGGCAATTCATTATGATACTTTTGGCAACACGGATTTAAAAAGAGGAGGAAACTGCTTCTTTCACCAATTCGTCATCCTTCCTGCTGCATGTAGATATATTAATGGCAAAGAGACAACCAGGAGTCCTTACAAGTTTAAGTACTTCCAGAAGCCTGTGGTCCTTGCACTCCTGCCAACCATTCCATTTGGACCAGGGCTGATGGAATCATTTTCTTCTTACCCATTCCCACCTGTTCACAATCCAGGCTGTTTCCAGAAGCAGTGGACACAGACGGACTTGTGATTTGACACAAACTTCCTGCTAGAACAGGTTCTGGTTTTGACAGTGGGAGGCAGCACCAAGGAACATCCTTCTGTTATGGATGAGAATGGGGAAATGACATGGCCCGTGTGGCAGAAAAGCTGCCCTCTTGGCTATCGCTGTGTTGCACACTAAGTGCTCCAGAGAAGATGGAGTAGAAGTGTAAAACAAGAGGTAAAGAAGAAACAAAACTATTCTGAGAGCGAAGGGAGAAGCAATGACTGTCTGGAAGAAAAGCTTCCTGTAAATGAAAGAAAAGCAAAACCTGTGTTCAGCCTGCCCCAGGACAGCTAGGAGGCGAGGTATTCTGGGTGCAGAAAGATAGCAAGACAGAATAGGAAGGTCTGCATGCCATCCTCTTCTTCCTGAGAAAACAGGAGAGACAACCAGCTGGAAACGACTTTGTACAGGCAATTCCAGTAGCAGCTGGACTTCCAGGTCTTCTCTGAAATCCCAGGAGTTCTGAACCCAGGGATTACTGAGAAAGAACATGACCTCACTGGCTAAGGTTTGGGCAGACCCACGGACGCCCTGGGGATTTTCAAATGAACACTGCATTGCTCAGGAGTGCTCTCAAAGCTCTCACTGCATTTGTGTTGACTGCCTCATCCAAACCCAGCAGGTACTTGTCTCTAAAGCCTTTGGATCTTGGAGGTTTGTTTCACTTAGGGCTGAGATTCTTAAGTCCCTAACTCAGGCTGACTGTGTTCTTAGGGAAATTTATTTAAACTCTATGCAGATCTTATCTGCACAATAAGAATATTTCTGAATTATTTCACACAGAGAATGAGAAGATTAATTCACAACTGTAAAGCACTACAGTAGTGCTAAATGTTATTAATGGCTCCCAAGTTTTCTTCTTTTGGAAACAGTGACTATTTCTTCTCATAATGTTTTAAACAGTTGCTGCTCAAGAAGCTTAGATTGCAGATTCCTGGCTTGTGGTTTGTCCATAAATCACAGACCTGGAGCCTGCCCAAGACACTCTCGATGGTCTCAACAGGAAGTCTGGACAAGAAAAAACTCAGTTCTCAATCTGGCCCAATGAACTGCTTTATGGGCCGGTCCAGTTTCAACGTCCTGAGCCAGACGTGAGAGGGATCCTATCCAAATTTGAAAACACAAGGTCTCAGGAATGTCCTTTCAAACTGGATTTCACTGCCCATAAATATTTTCCATCTTCTGCCCCGGAATATAGGTTTGACACAGCTGATGAGCCTGGGCAGAGCAGGAGAGGCAGCCACGCTGTTTATCACCAGAGGTTTGTCAGCACACAAAACTTAACTTGCAGATTTTTTTTTTTTAATAAATAAGAGCCCAATCCACACTTCTGGAAAACAAAAAAACAACACACAGCAGTTTAATAAAGTCCTTGTAAAAATGAAAGTTAAAAGACTAATCTTCCAGACTCAGCAGGGCTCAGCACTGTTTACAGCCAGGAGCCCAAATAAGCTCCATGAGATTCTTCCTGTGGTAGAGCAAACAGAAGCAAAGGACACAACCAGCCCATGCTGGTGGCTTCACGGCACCGTTTTCATGTTTTGCCTCAATATGCCAGAAAAATCAGGGTCTCTGTTC